TATCCAGGGGTGGCTCCAGAGGCTCTCTGGCAGGCAGAAGTTAGAAGCTATGTTCCCCGTAGCTTCAAAGCTTAAGCCCTCTGAGTAAATGCTGTTTCTGAATGCAGAGTCCCCAGGAAGTGTCAGGGAACTCAAAGACGCTGACCAGGTTGTTTTCCAGGCTCTTCCCTGACCCATGCCAACGGTACGGTTAACGGTGTTCCTGCTCAGCTGAAGTCTCCATCACCTGCAAGAGTTTACACCCTCTACTTACTGACAGTACTGAACAATAGCAGGACTCTAAAGACTGGGACTTGTGACTCCTCAGTGAATTGTGGAACTGTTTGAAGTGCTGCTAAAGTTTGAAGAAGGTTACAAGAGTGGGAATGGAGGCAGTGATATACAGACCACCAGCCTCTGCGTGAACTTCAGGTCCTGTCCACTGAGGGCCCTCGCACAGAGCTGACTGCTTGTGCAAGCTGGTGGGACACTCCTCTGATCTATGACTCCAACCAGCCTTCAGGGTGCTCCAGACTACCATGGGTTCAGCCTGGAGAGACGTCTCAGCTTAGCTGGAAGGGTCTCCATCAGAAGCCCAGGTTCCAACCTGCAGGAAACAAGTTCCTGGGGGGAAGTCCTGCTGCTCCAAGGGGGCAGCTTTCCCAGTGTCATCCATTTACCTGCCAAGACTAGTCCCTGAAAAGATGCCAATTTCTCTGTCTTCCCTATTTGTCCCTAAAAGAGCACAAGAATTATTGAGCCCTTGAGAGCCCAGGAAGGGTGCTCAACATTTCCAGCAAGTAGCATTTGTATTGAAGGCCTGTTACTCAGGGTTTGTTTTCAGGGAAGGGCAACGTTCAATTGCTCCGTCTTCCCTAACCACCTCCAAGTGTCTTCGTGTCTCTGTCATTGTGCCTGTCGCACAGCCATTTTCTCCTTTACTTGCTCTGTCCCAGCTAGCCTTGAAGCCTCTGAAATGCCGGAACTGTGTTAGAGCCATGCTAGGGGATTAGGGTGACCACTCGGGGTCCTAGCGGAGGTCTGGGTGGAGAACACCCAACATTCTCTAGCCTTTGGGTGTTGGAGAAAGGTAGGTTCAGCAGTGAGTAAAATCTAGCTTGATTTTCATCTCCACTCCCTGATACTCAGCACTACTTTCCTTTACTCTGTAAATGGAGACAGAGTACTCCCCACTCCCCACTACATTGTGAAATCATAGGTGCCAGAACTTGGGAAGATGGCCAATGCGACACACATGAGGAGTTGTCATACTAAAGTACCTCAGCCTCCTTCACTGTCATCAGATGAACAGAGGGATTGTTCTGTGGCTCAGAGGCCCAGCTCCTCCTCATTGTGCTATTTCCCAGGTGAGCTTAGTGTGTTGTTGCAGCTCAGTGACTGCTCCTTTACCTGTGAAATGGGAGTCGGGTTGTCAGGGCAACACTTTGCATCTTGATTCAGTGGCATGATTGTTGGTATTTTTAGTACCATGAGTTAAATGAGCATAAAGATGCTTTCCTGAGGGGAGATTTCTAGAAGCAACCTAGATTTTGGTATAAAGTAGGAACTGAGTGAATCCTAGATCTGTCCTTTGTTGTCACATAAGTAGAGTGCCCCCCCCCCATAAGACTCAGCATAGTTTTCTAGCTCAGAAATTGACAAACTTTCAAGGGCAGATAGTAAAAATTTTCAGCTTTGCAAACCACAGGTCTCCACCACTACTACTAAAACAGCCACAGACAAGACATAAATAAGTGATCCCTGCTATGTTCCAATAAAACTTTATTTACAAAATCAGCTAGGCTGTGTTGACCATAGTTTGCTGACCCCCACTTTAGCTTACGGTAGGGGCCCTTCAAGAACTTGGGAAACTAAGTTGTTGAAGATAGTTGAACAGAGACTTCCACTTGCCTACAGCCTTGATTCTAACTGTTTACACAGGCCCAGATCTGTGTTCCTGCCACAGGGTCACAGCAGAAAGACCTACATCTCTTCTTCACTCCCTCCTCAGGCTTTGAGAAATCACAGGCGCATTCAATGCAGCTGCTTAATGGAGAGCAGAGTTTTTGTGCCTCCCAGAATCTGTTCCCTTCCCCCTCCCCACCCAGGGCCTTTCCCCTCCATTCCAACTTTGTGGGACACACAATTTGTAATCTCTTAAAACCAAAGATGCAAGGTCTCTGATTCGTGTAGTTTAAAATCAGCTGCAACCTATTAATGGCCCAGAACCCCAAGACAGATTTTAGGAAACAAAAACACTGGACTAAATTAGACTGAACTGGCCTCTGTCTCCAGGGGAGGGAGATGGAGGAGGAGGCTGGGGTGGAGGAGTGGCCATGTGGTTTCAATTAATTTGGTTCTCTTCCTAAAGCTAATTCACCCAACACAAAGCATGTGCAGCACCATAGCAGCGGCCAGCCTCAGTAGTCCTGTCTCCCTGGTAGAAGCCCTGGGCTGTACTGGGGGGCTGTGGCAGGGGCTGGTTGTGTCTGTAATTAACAGGTTTCAAAGTAGTTATTTTGGAAAAGAGAATTTCAGTGGTGCATTAAAATCCTTTCATCAGCCATCAGCTGGCGTCCCAAGGCCTTCAACAAGGTCTTTGCCACTTAAAGGCTTGAGAGCACACTGAATTCCCGGGGTCTCACTGGAGAATGTGGAAGCTTTCACCAGGGGTTTTATGAGGCTAATGGTTGCCGTGATTTTTATTATGTTGTTTGGTTACAGGGATCATAAAAATGTTTCTCTCTTCCTCGAATACCTAGGGTCATTATAAAGAAAAGCCCTGTTTTAAAGAAATTACATAACAAGAATGAGCCCGTGGCCCTGTCATGGGAAAAGAGCTGGCTGTAGCTCTGGGCTGGACAAATGATGAGACTGGGAGAGCCAGAGCTGTCAGCCAGCACCCAGTCCTGATTGTGAGCTGAGAAAACTGAGGCCCAGAGAGATCTTCCAGCTGAAGCCAGTCTGGAGTATTCTGATGGCTCTCCCTGTCAGGTATTTTTCTCTTTCCAGTGCCTCAAGGCTGTAATAGAGTTGGGATCTTTCTAACAGCAAAAGACAAATGGTCAGAGCCAGCTGAAAGTCAAAGGCTAAGGTGGACACAGGAATAATCCCCAGTGCAGCTTTGAGGGAGCTCTCCTCTGAGCCTGGAAAGGCAGCACCGTGGCTCTGAGAGGAAACGGTCGCCGGAGCTCTCAAGTGGCATCCATGGCCTGAGCTATGGAAAGGAGAGAACTAGATGCTGAGCCCCACAAGCCACAGAGATGACTTTTTACTGCTCTGAATCTGAAACCTGGTCAAATTCCCAGCATCACCAAAGAGGGTAACAGGAACTTTGGTTAAGCTTGTGTTATTTGATAAATGCAACCTTATAAAGGCTTTTTTTAAACCTTTTTTTCATTATATGGACCTTACTTCATATTTTGATGATGGCTACCTTCTAGAACCTTCTGTCATGGAAGACATAAAACCTATTCTGGGAGAGGTGCTCAAAAAAAAGAGCTTTAAAGAAATAGGCCCTGTACTCAGTCAGACACTTGTGAAAACTAGTCCACAATAAAGCCATGAGGCATGTTCAAAGACTTAGAGAATGCCAGAGCTGGGAGAGAAACTGAAGCCCAGTTGGGCCAGTATTTCATTGTACAAATAGGAAAACTGAAGCTTCACGCATGTCCAAAGTTATATAATTGGCCCAGGGAGCCTGGCCCGTGGTTCCTGACTCTCAGCACAGAGCTGGCCACTTCGGCCATGTTTTACCACCCACAGATTCCTTTCAGTTTGACATGTTTATCTATTCACTCAATATTTATTGACCTCTCCTGTCTATTAACTATTTCTAGGTGCTGCTCCTTTTGTCTCTTTGAAATAAGGAGACACATTTCTATGGAACACGTTAAAGAAGAAATTTCCTTCCCAAATCCAGATTTTAGGAAAGTGAAGTGACTTTTGTGAGCTTGGGGCAGCCACAGAGGAAACACCTGGCATTCTGGGTGTGCCTCTCAGATAGGTACAAAATCTCATCGTATAAGGACTGGCTCTGCCTAGCCTAGAGGTGGTTGCTTGCAGCCACCTCTCCGCTTAGCAGACAACAAGGCAGTGTGACCCAAAGAGTTCTGGGAATGGAAATCCAAGAATTCTCTGGATCCAAATTTGAATGTGTGTCAGTGGGAAGCCAGGCCAGTTGAAGGCATGCAGTTTGCACAGGTCTCTCCGTCTGTTTTCCATCATTCTCCTCCTACAGCTTGCTTGTCAGTCCTTTACTCTTGTTTACCTCTCTGTGAATAATTCCTCGATTATAAATCAGAGAACTTGGCACTGAGTTTTGGATTATCTGTGATCTTTAACTTTCCCAGGGCAGAAAAAATTAAACTAGCAAATCTCTTTATTTCTCATGGTTCAGCATCCAAATCAGGAAAATACTGATCTGTGGAGGGTGAGCCAAGCCTGAGTCTACCCTTCCCGCCATCAAGGTAATCAGTCATGCATGAATCCATCCACCCATCCATCCATTCACCCATCCTGCAAATATTCAGAGAGCACCTATGTAACAGACTCTATTCTAGAAGCAAAAGACACAGAATTTTTAAAAAGACAGTGTTTCTACTTGGCTGTTGACATCTTAATGTTAGTGAAAATAAGCAAATAAAACCAAAGAAACATATGCAGGAATATCTGGTGCTCTCAGGGATTGGTCCCAAAGCTCCCACAGATACCAAGGTCCACAGATGCTCCAGTTCCTTAGATAAAATGATATAGTATTTCCTTTAACATATGCACATCCTCCCACATATTTTACATCATCTCTAGATGACTTATAATACCTGTGACACTTGCAGATACTCTGTAAATAGCTGTTGTACTGTGTTGAGAAGGGATAATGACAAAGAAAACCGTCTATACATGTTCGGTATAGATACTTTTTTTCTGAGTATTTTCAACTCGTGGTTGGCTGAATCTACAGAGGCAGAACTTGCAAATGCAGAGAACTGGCTGCAGACATGTGATAAGTGCCTTAAAGATGCAGAGCACGGAAAGAGATGGCAGTGTGGTGTGCAGCATTGATGACATTTGATCAAAGACCGAATGAAGAGAGAATAAGCCATGGTCAATCCAGGAAGAGCGCTCCAGGAGAAGAAACAGCAAATGCAGAGACAGGTACTGTTTGCTGTGTCTGGGGAACAGCAAGGAAGAGGAAGCCAGAGACCGGAGCAGAGTGAACCAGATTATAACAGTGTTACTTAGCTTAGGGCAGAGTAGTGGGCGAGGGCCAGCCGCGGAAGTGGCAACTTTGGATGTTGTGCTGGGCAGCATGGGGTGTCCTTCGCAGCTGTAGGGTAGGCGCTGATACAGCAGAGACGAACACTCAGAGACTGCAGAAGTTGATGAGGCAACGGCCTCAGACACATGGCACTGGTAGCTGCACCTCCTGGGAAGAGCCGCAGGTGGAAACTTTTGAGAGCCACACATTTTGACAGGGCGAAGCTGGGCTGGGAGTGCACCATCTCCTTGGTTAGTCCTAAGTCCAGAAAAATGAAACCCTGTTTTTTAAACAGGAGGGTTGGGACTGTTGAGTCAAAATCCTCAGCCGTCTGGACCATAGCAGGCTCTGGAAGGTAGTTGGTGCAGGTCTTGAGCCTCTCACTGGCTTGTTTGACCCTCATCGGGGTCTTCCTTGGGGCCTCAAATTGGTAAGAAGCAGGCTCAAATTCTAACCCAGCCTTTAGGGAGTCTGGCTTTATGTTTGGCTGATTGTGTACTGTCCGGTCAGTTTCCTTCCTAGGCCCTTTCACTGCTAAACGCAGGCCAGTACCAAACCTGGACATGTATGGCTATACTTAAATCAATTAAGTTGAAATAAAATTAAATTTTCCATTCCTCAGTTCCCCTTGCTATGCTTCAAGCACTTGCTAGCCACAGGCAGGTGGGGCTGCCAAGTCACAGGTCAGGTGGAGATGTAGCACATTTCCACCGTGGCAGGGAGTTCTGTTGGACAGTTTCACTTCTTTAAAAAGAGGAATCCTGGAGATTTGAACAAGTTAACATGCACAAAGTAAAGGGCATTTTCCTACCTCCTCACAGGGGCAAACAAAATATAGTCCCATGATTTGACATCTGAGTCTCCATGCACCACTCTGCGATTGGCTGAATTGTATGGCAAGTCAACCTGTCTTAGGTTCAGTTTTCTGATTGTAAAATGGGAATAATATGTACTTCCGAGTGATTTCCTGCGGCATATCATAATCCTTACTCTTCTCATTTCTTCCTGGCGTCATAAGAGCTTGATCCTTGCCAGCCCTCAGCTGCCTTATCCATACCAGAATTGGGAAGCCCCAGTCCTGCTTTCCTCGGCAGGAAGATTGACGTACTGTAATGGATGGATTCCGAAGATCCCGTCCATCTGGAAGACCCTGATCACGGCTAGCGAGTGGTATGAAGTTCTAACAAAGCAAGTGGACAAGTCTGATCAACAAAAATAACCACTTTGCCCCAAGTGAGATATTGACCCTAGAGTCCTCAGATGCTCTGGTGCTTGGCCGCAGGCCTCTTCTTCGTCCCTGTGCTCCTGCTGGGGATGTGGCTCCTGGAGAGAGGCCCTGCAGCAGCGGCTCTGCTATCTCCTCCCGATCAGTATTCCTTTTTACACTTCTGGGGTTTTGTTGTTAAACGTTGATTATGGACAGGCAGGTAGAAGCAGGGATTCGCCTGGGGCTGGAAGGAAGTTATTTGCCAGGTCAGGATAAGGTGTAGTTTAAGAATTAGAGCTAGAATTCCCTTCACCTGCTTCATGTACTTCAGGGAACATTTGTTTTCAAGTCCCAAATTACCTGCTAGTGTTTCTAGGCCCGAGATTCTATCTCTCGGGTTGTTTTGTTTCACTTCTGGTAAGAAATTCAAAGAAGGAAAAAAAAGTGAGAGGCTCAAGAACAACATTCCTGTATTCCCTTAAATAAAATTTGACACAGGGAGTGATTTGCTTCCCTTTTTACTGTTAGAAACTCTGCCTGGGAGGCTGGTTGGGACCTGGAGCAGTGAGTGTAGCTGGGTGCTCCAGAAATCAGGGAGCAGCCCCAACTCTCTGTCTGATGGAACTCCCTGAATCTCTCCTCCCTTCAAACTGGTCCACCTGCAGCTTTTTCTTCCTGCACACCCCACTCCCAAGCTGCAGGGCAGTCCTATGGGCTTTCCTTCCAAATATGTCCAGAATTCAACCAGCTCCCACCAATCCCACTGGCAGCATCCGCCTCTGCCCCTGGTCAGCTGCAATAATCTCTTAGTGGTCTTCTCCTAGTTCTACTTATTCTCGAATATATTCTCAACCTAATAACCAAATCAGGTCCCATTCTCCCTCTCCCTGCAACCCTTCCAACCAAATGACTTCCAAATGGTTCCCATCTCATTCAGAGTAAAAGCCACAGTTCTTACCGTGACCGCAGAGGTCCTAAATCATGTGCTCCTGTTAGCACACCGACCTGCTTCCCCCATCTCCCCTCCATTCATTCTTCTCCAGTCACATCAGCCTTCTTGCGTTCTTCAAACACACCAGATGTGTGTCCACCTCAGGGACTTGGCCGCAGCTGCTTCCTCACCTTTCCAAGTCTTCTCCTGATGTCTCCTCAGTGAGGCTGACCTGACCCTGAGCATCCTCATTTATCTCAAAAGCTGTCCATGACTCCTTGTGTTTCCACATCCTCCTTGACCTGACCCTACCTTTCCCCTTATCATTCTCTAACATACGATGTAACTCCTTTATATGTTTATTGTTTCTCTTTCTCCTTGTAGGACTATTAGCCTCATGAGGACAGGGACTTTGGTCTGTCTGCTTATAAACAGCTCACAGCTGCTCTTCTCTTCCCACTGGTGACCTCCTCTGGGAGACAAGGATTCTCCAGGGAGCCAGACCTGAGAATGATTAGAGTTATAAAGCAAGCCCAAGCTTGCAAAAAACTCCAACAGTCCGGGGCTAGGGGAGAGTGAAAACTCCTATGAGTCTTCAGTAAGCCAAACTCAGAAGAAGCTGGGCAGCAGAAGCTGAGTCCAAGCTTGCAGAAGTCAAGAAATCATGTAAACAAGAAATGATCGTAGCTATGAACAACAGGAAATTAATAAAATAAACAGTGATGACTCTTTAAAGATACGGACGACAGTTTTCAAATGTTTTGGTCTAAATGCGTCCTCTCTCTATCAATGTATTGAAAACCCTCAAAGAGCTTTTGTGTTCAGGTAGTATCTACCAATAAGCCCTGTGGTAGCCTGTCTCTAGGATAGCCCCCAAAGGTCCTCGTCACTCAGCAGTCACATCCCTGGGGATCTTTTTCCCACTCTGAATCAGGGCTGGTCCAGAGGACAAGCAGAAAATGGCAGAAGTGATGGGCTGTGATTTCAAAGACTAAGGCATAAAAGGACCTACAGTTTCCTGCTTGGCCTCTTCCATTCACTTTGGAGAAAACCAGTGACTATTGTTTGCAGACTGTAGGACAAAAAGCATATGGAAGAAAATCAAGTCCTCCTGCCAACAACCAGCAACCTCTAATCACACTTGTGAGCAAAAGTGGATCCTCCAGCTCCAGCCAAGCCATCAGATCACTGCAACTGATCTGAGGCCCCAAAGCAGCACAGCCCAAAAAAGCCCTCCCTGAATTCCCAGGGCCCCCACAACTATGGGAGAAAAAAATGATTTTTGTTTTTTTTAAGCAAATTTCTTGGGGGTACTTTGCTATAAAGCAATAAATAATTTATCATATTAAGAATTAAAGCAGAAAAATATTCATTTGTTGGTTTTAAATTTTTATTTATATGAATAAATTAATATTTAGCAGTTCATTAAAACTTACTAATTCATTACTTGATTAAAAAGTTTAAAATAAAATATTTTATCATAAAAGGAACTATATTTTCTTTCAAAAAAACCAAAATTTAGTGAGAAAAGTGTTCTAAATTTTTGTAGACGCTAATGTCTGGCTTAATAGAAGACAGCTGGCTTCCCATATCTACTTCTGCATTCGATCAGCTGTGATAATGTTTTGGTTGAAGTATGTGAAGAAAACCCAGCCTTCCATACATAGGTTGTTGGAAAAGGAAGGACTATTTTGATGGCCTTTTCAGATAATAATGAATATTCTTCATTGACATATCCCTAAACTCAGCTAATGGTAGTTTAAAGGTTAATTGCAATTTGAAGTTATAGCCATGAAATTGTGCTCAGTTATATTGAAATCCATGTGGTCTGGCTTGTGCTTTGAATAGATCATTTGCCCAGGCACGATTTTTTAATGTTATGCATGGGTCATTTGGAAAATATTGCTTTATTAAATTACACAGATCTTACTTTGATATATGCCACAATGAAAACTAAAATTTCAGATTTGTTAGCATTATCTCCTGATCTCATCAGAAACTGCTATAAGAAGAAGCAAGGTGTTGAGCTCACGGGGGCAGACACAAGTTTTCAAAAATTCCAGTGTTTACTCAGCATTTCTATTTAGACAATAAATACTGTCAATATCTTTCTTAAGTCGACAGTCACTGTCTGAATAACCACGAGCTATTCAGTGCTCTTGCTGTTCCGCGGAAGTGATCAGCTCTGCTTGCGACTCAGCACTGACCAGGTCCTTTGTACTTTTCCAAAGCAACTTCACACTGCAGAATGTACCAGCAGAGTGGATGCCTCCTTTCCAACTCATTACTCAGACTAGCTCAAAGTATCCTTTAGGCAAGGGTTCATAAAACTCTTAATTTCAATTGCTTCATCTAGGTTCATTCTTTAGTGAAACTAACTTTTTTCTCTCCCCTGTGAGTTTGTAGCGGGGAGGAATACTGATTGCCAGTATTGTCTGGCGCCAGCAGTTTTATCCAAATGTCAACATGGTGAAGAAAGCAAATAACATCTTGGTAGTATTATGAAAATAATTTTGGCTTTGCAGGCACCCTGATAGGATGGGAGGGATCCCAGGGGTCCACAGACCTCACTATGAGAACCACCGCTTTAGGGGAAAGGCTGCCGTGCCATTACGCGTAGCACATCTAGGTGATCATCCTACATGCTAAGAACTGTGTGTAAAATGTAATGGCTACCACTTATTGCATAAACTAGAAAACATATCACTAGGCAGATATTCTTGGGAGTGAACTAGATGTGAGGCAGGTTCTTTATTTAAGGGAGATTAATGTAATCTTTGTGCTTTTGTTTGTCCCACTTGTCTGAGAAATTCCTTGGACTGTCAGTGTTGAATAAATAAGGCAGGGCAGCAAACACCTGCACCTTTTTGCTGTGACCCTGCTTCCCCTTCATCCTACCAGAGGGGAAACCTCAGAGGATGCAAAGGACCCGCTTTCCAATGTAGCAGGCTTCCTCCTAGCCTGCCTAGGAATGGGCAAGGCTCTCCATGGTAGTAACCATCACATGGGCTCAGAAAAGCAGCAGACCCACAGGTGCATTTGTTCCAGTGACCACGGTGCCAGTGGCTTCTGAGTGGTTCCGCACCCTCCTACCCTGCCACAGATTTCCTACACCAAGGACAGAGTGTAAACAGCAGGGAGGTGGCTGTTTTTCATTCTTGCTCAGTTTAGCTTGTACATCCTTTCAGGGCAGAAATGTCAAGTAGGTTTTCGCCCCACACCTGACTGGGCTCAGCTATTTGGCATGTGATTGCGTAACTGCTCTGTCTGGGAGCACACACCCGTCTGCAGGCAGGACAGCAAGCCCTGGGAACCGGAGACCTTTCCACATCTGTTCGCCTAGTTGGGGGCAGAAGGAAATCGCCAAAACCTTCAAACCTGGGGCCAGAACAGAAGACAACAGGGAAGCCTTAAACCACTAGCGCCCCCAGGTCATGTGAGCACCCTGTCCCCTTCCATCCCTTCAGGTCCCTGACACTCAGTCTTTTCATCCCCCTCAGGTCAGCAGCAGGTTCATGTGAGTTGATGTAAGTTGTGAGCTCATCAAATGAAGGGGGAAACGTGTTTGAAAACCCTTTTATCGCTGGAAGTTGGACTGAATGAGCAGTATGGCTGAAGCCAACATCTTATACTTTTTCTTCCCTAGAATTCTCTCTCTTTCACCTTTATCTCTTTCTGGGTTAGAACCCTATTCAGTCTCTGGTGACCACTCACCAAAACAATCCATGCAAAGAGGTAAAGACTGAGAGAAAGAACTAGAGGTCTGACACGCTAGGCTGAAATGGTGGCCCTTCTATGCCAGAACCTAGGAAACAGCATTCAAAGGCATCCAGATGTTTCTCCTCAGTAATTTGCTGGACAAATTACTATAGACCTATAAGAACTGATTGCATGTACTTTTTCCTCCCTCACAATCATAGTATCTTGTTGAAAATTTGAACTGACCATGGTGGGAATATTTATACCACAGACATAGCAAACTACAAACCGACTTGCAACCCCACCATCCAAGCTAGTTGTTAGACATTTACCAGTCCATCAGTGCTGCCACTGTACCAGTGATCACTTCAAGTATGAGTCTCAAATCAGTTGTACTAGGGAAAAGATGAGATGGGGTAGGAGTGTTATTATTCAACATGCTGATTTCCTGGCCAGCCTGAACTGAGTCCAATTCTCTGGAGGTGGAGCCTGGAGAAATACTTTTTAGCAAGTCCCTAAGGCTATTAACAAATTCAATAAAACTTGAGACTTCAGGCTTAGGGAGTGAGAGAGAAGAGTGGGTGTGCATCTGGCTCTTGGCATCTGGAATAAACAGCTGGCCTGAGTCCCAGTTGGCCTGAGAATGGACAGCTGTTTTCCCTCGAGATATAGCTTCTTGACAGGAAAGGGAGGTGGGAACTCTGGGGTCCCAGCTACTCACCACCAACATGACTGGCTCTGCCTTGGATCTCAGGATGTCTCACTTTGCAACCTTGGGACTCTGACCCAAGCACATGCCCAGATACAGACACCGTCATGAAGGAAGTCACCATCATGTGTACCACTGGTGAGGCTCGTGGAGCACAGAGAGATTCCACAGTCAGTTTTCCATATGCAGTTGCTCAGGACAGCAGTTTCTTTTCAGATGTACACAGACCTAATCAGAAGCTGTCACAATCAGGCCTGCTTTGTAAGACCAAGACCTTATCGGCTTCGTCCCACTGAGTCTGGAAGAGAAGGTAATATAAGACAGAAGAAGAGAAAAGAAAGGGAGAAGAGGGAGACTTTCTTTCTCCAGACATGAAACAGAAAGTGTGTGAGGAACCCAACTGTTTTAGACTTGTTTTGCGCCTGCCTGAGGGTGCAGTTCAGATGAATTTTTCCTGAAAGCTTGACTGTGGTTCCTAACAGTCCTGGGAGGAAGCCACCCATAAGAAACCAGACTGAGCCAGGTATATGGAAACTAGCAAGCAAGCAGAAAAGCTGGCATTTGGGCCTCCATTTCTGTGACCGAAAAATCAACACATTTTCCTCCAAAGAACAATGCAGTGTTTTTCAGTATGTAATTATAGCCCCCCAAAGTTCGTAATGGGCAATTGAGCAGTGACGTCAGAAATATCAGAAAGTTCTATGAGTTCCTAAACACCAGAGCTCCCTATATCTGAAGCAAGTTCAGAAATATAGTCCAAAGCCCTTATAAAATTTCAGGGTTACCAAGATAGCAAAAGCAACCCTGGATCAAAAGAACAAAGCAGAAGGCATCACCATTCCAGATTTGAAGTTATATTACAAAGCCACTGTGATAAAAATGGCCTGGAACTGGCAGAAACAAAAAAATAGACATGAGGATCAACAGCATATAATAGAGGATACAGAAACAACCCCAAGCACAAAGAGGCCAAAAAAAAAAAAAAAAAAAAAAAACCACTGGAGAAAAGATATTGTCTTTAATAAATGGTGTTGGGGAGACTGGCTTTCCACATGCAGAACCTGAATCTAGACCCATACCTCTCACTGTGTACTAAGCTAAAATCAAAATGGATCAAAGAACTAAATGTGAACTAAACCAGAAACACTTAACCTGCTGGAAGGTAAAATACGTAAAGCTCTTGATGTCATATGTATAGGCAAGGTCTTTCTGAACAGAACTTAAGTTGCACAAAAAATAGTTTCAAGAATCAACAAACAGGATCATTTCAGATTAAAAAGCTTCTGCACAGCAAAGAAACAACCAAAAAACTGGAAAAACAACTTGT